TTTACCTGGGATTCACAGTCTGTACTACGTACATTTCCGTGAATTTACTGGTGTATACACAATTCTGCTAAAAGCGTCTTTTACATTTTGAAGTTTGACCACGACATTCCTAGGGGAGTTGTTAAGCATTACCCACTTTTACCCGCATTGTTCCATAGTTCCTTTATTTCCTAGATTTTCCGCAGTTAACTGATGGCATTAAATCAGCAGTTTATTGTAAAGGATGCGATTTGAGGACTGCTGGGTTTGCTCAGGCGTCAGACACCGGTTTATTGAAGTCTTTCATAAAGGTACCTATTAACTGGGCGATTTTGGTTCATTTCTGTTGACCTTACATCCAAGTCGTGTCCTATTTCTAGGGATGGTATTTGCTTCGCGTAGGGTACGCCTTATATTTGTCCCGGTCATCAAATTACGGTCAACCCTAGCCTATTGTCTCCAGAGCCGTAATTCGTATCCCTGCTATTTTGAGCTTAGTATATGAATAACAACGGCATCCCCACGTACATGATGCGCCGTATTGCTGCTTTTAAGTGATAGCATTTATAGCACAAGTAACGCTATTCAGTGAGCTATGCTTAGCCTTAAAAATTTTGGTTTAATATGCACGTATATAAACTTTATTGACGATAGTAGGATAAACAAATGCAGCAAAGGCAAAGTGAATGCATAAAGACTATCATATAATTGGCAGAAAATTTGCTCCAGTATCCCTGCTTAATAGTTCTAATTAGAAATAATGTTCAACAAGTCCGTTTTTAAACGGATTTGAGCATGGACATTTTATCAAATACAGGTGGTGCTAACGAATATAACGTTCAGAATGTGGCAATGGCTTTTGCTCTAAATTCTCTACGAACCTTCAAAATAATTTTGACTTTGTTTAGACGAACGAGTTCAAAATATGTTGTAAATATAAGATAACTTTATAGTTCTACCAGACGTTATTATTGCTGGCTGTGGGAACGCAGCATATTTGCATGTTCTGTGGTTTGCTGCCATACGCACGCCAACTACCATGCTGACAACCGTTCCATCAACAAAAACGTCAGCTTTTGCAGTTTTTCATCCAGCGTAAGAGCGTAACTATTTTCGTGTACACTGCAGAGCGTTATCACATTTGTATTTGCATTTGAGCTCTTGTGGTACGGACTGGTGGAACGCTGCCGTTATTATGGATCACGGTTTGAAATGACCTAGATTATTGGCCCTTGTCAAAAGCAACTACATAGCAACAGTTAGATGATCCAGCTATCGTGTTGATCATGCGTACTGTTTTATGCTTCCCGTCCAGAGTGTCAAGAGCGTTTGTGTCCCGGGTGTACGTGGGTTGTATTAAACCGAGGACGGCTGAAATGCAGAGGAAATACCTCCTACGTGGCCGGAGAAGCCCCTAGTAATTGTCGAGCAGAATGAACGGTGTGCTTGCGTCACAGCTAGTGGCTAGCTAGACGAAACGGTCACAGCTGCCGATAGACGACCGAGCATGAGGCGATTAGATGGATGGTGTAAAAGCGTACGATGGTTGGAGAATAAAATAACACCGAAGCGGAAATAGAAAAGCAAAGGGAAGAGGAAACGAAGCTTAGAATACAGGCTATGCTTGACGACAACTTACCTGTTGACTCGCCACTGCGTCGCACAGTATAGTAAAACCTATCGTTTTAATGAAAGGTATAACCGAAAAGATGTAGTCCATACCAGTGTGCGGTTTGTCAGGTAATATTTCGATCAAGGAACCTGGTGGCACTGGGGTGTGTAAAATCAGTTATAGCTGTTGTTGTCAATATTCAAGTTCGGCGTGGTTTGGCCAAGTGGTATTTCATGAGCACAGGAGACAAACCAAAGTTTCGGTACAATCGGTATTGATTAAAAACTCGGAAGGTTCAGAGCTCCATCAAAGAATTCTCCATAATAAAATCGGTTGCACTGGTTGTATGTCGAAGTCTGATGACTGCGTCAGTGTGAAATGTTCAGATGTGGCTTATTCAGTGGTGAGTCACATCCGGCATGTTGCAGTCTTGTTAAGCGAACATTTGTGGCTTTTTACAAGGAGAACGCTTGCCAGGCGAAAACCCGCCACTTCCTGGAAGGGGTGGTAAACAATGAGAGAAAATGTTCATCACAACCACACGAAAGTAAAGTAAACAAAATGTTATCTAAACATCATTCATTGAGGTTATGCCAGTCTACCAGCGTAGAATTATCCTCAGATGCCATCCACCGTGGAACCACTGGGGGGTGGAAAGGTCATTAGAACTGCCAATAGTAAGCTATTTCCCGTCGACTAACTGCATGGTGGTTCCTCTAGACTTCCGCGATTTACCTTCATACGTGAGCAGAAGGAAAACAATCGTGCTAGGGCGGATGCGATATAGGCTGTTTTAATTACGTTTTACATGGTTTACTGGATCCAATTAGCATCATCTAAGGACAAGAGTAGAACAGCTATGGGCTTGGAATTGCTCTGACCACATATATTGTACGCATGATATGGTTGCTACTTTGAACTAACTTTATCTGACTAACAGAACAGACCAAATGCCAGGTTTGGTGAAACTTTGGAAACTCGTCTAGGAACCAGAATAGGATTATCCAAATGTGGTTTCAGTCTTGTTGATCGCATGTTTGCAGGTTAAGGACAGAAACGTAACTGTCTCATCTGTGGACTAAACTAAGACAAACTCGAGGTAGCTTCATTTAAGAGGTTACAATTACTCCGGTTATACTAGGTTCACTGGATTTCAGAACAGGACAAACCAGAGTTGGATTCAGTCATGTAGACCAAAAGGACTCAGGTGGCGTTACGCTTACGATACCAAATAAGCCTCATTAGGAGAACAGAACGGAGCAAGCCAAACTGGCTATTCCCGTTGACTGCATAAAAAAGATTCATATTTAGGTCGGGGTAGAACACACAGACCTTCGGTATCACTGTGTAAGTCAGATTCACTGTGGCTGCCCCAAGGTAATCTCATCGAATGGACTTCATCCGGGGACCGTTATAGAACCGCGAAATACTGAGTAAGGTGACTTAAGCAACTCTAATATTGTGTTATGTTAGATGTAATGCATCTACTTATCTTCATCTGAAAACCAAGCAAGCACAGTCAACAGTTGAGAGCGGCCATGTAATACTCATTACCAGAGATTTTGGTAGACTTGCTAATTAGAACTAGATCCGTTTGCAGCACATAGCGCAGAAACCGAGAATTGGTGGTTGCTTCATAGGCTAACACAATAAACGATACGCACGGTCATATGCATCTAACTTGCCTCAGCTGGCCAACAGAATAAAATAACCTAGAATTGCCTACCGTGAAAAGTATGCAACTAAACCGGACAAATGATCCGGTTAGAAGAACAGGGTATTTTAGCTGATACGCATCCAAAGCTAAAGGAAAGTGGAAACAGCTAGCTCGGGCCCGGCAAATATGTAACTTCTAAACAGGTGCTGCAGGAATTAGAGCTTAATTCTTATAGTTGGCGGCATCCGGTTTCGGATTTGCCTGTCACTGTGGCCAGCCACAGGACGCCTGCGCCTAGAGAGCGACCATGGATTTCTTACGCTGCACCACCCACAGCTCGAACCACACACACCATATCCAGTGTAAACCCGAAGGAAAAGACCAGGAGGCATGTGGGTGGTAGCCACGTAACAACAACGGAGCCGGCCCACACTCCTTCACAGGCAAACACAAGCACGCTGTATTTGGGAATCAAGCGCACAAAAGGCGGTGGCTGTACCGTAGTCCGCTCCACACTGACTGCATGGAACCACTCTTCGAGCCTATCACAACCACAAGGACCGTGCACCCCGTCCCCTCCAGCAACGACCAACTGTCTCCTGGAGCCAGTATGGAGGAGGTAGTGGGTAATAGACAGGTAGACACCTTGTCAACATGCACATCAAGCGCAGCCACACCTGGGATGTCAAACAACAGCCAATCACTCAAAATGTCGATATCGAATAAAGTAAACGAATATGACGACAAAACTACTCGATAAATGAGCATGTAAAAGAAATTATTTATAAGTGAATCCATGATAAGTATGAAACGCCTGAGTTATTTAAAAAATATCACGTGATAGAATTACGCAAGTTTACCACAATTTGCATGAGCGACGTGTGCAAATTGGGAGAAGATTATCAAGTACGCAGAACAACCAAGTAAAATGTAGTGAATTTTATCCACATAAAATGGCTTAGTTAAAGTGTAAGTTGGTTTAGCCCAACTGCGGTGAAGAAGCATCATGTATGCACTATCAGCCCTATGACATGTAAGCTAATCAACAAGGTGTTTATTGCTGCAATTTGGCCTGCAACTAACTTCAAAAAATCAAGTAGGGCAAAGTTATACGGTTGTTAAGTATGAAGATTTTCTTCTCTAGCACCTATCTTTCATTTCGTCTTGTTTAGACCAAAAAGTGTTTTTTTACTTGCAAGAAAACCGCCATATTATATAGAGGTATATGCGGGGAAAATACTTTTATTCACCATTGCTCTGAGATGTTTTTGGAATGCATAGTTTTATAGTGGTATATGCTTGCTGCGAATAAAAGCGCATACTAAGTTCAACGTCTGGCAGGAATTAGAGGTGTGCCCAAGTGCAATGTTGCCCTGCTAAATGTGCTTTCATATATGGGTGGGGTAGAGTAGGGATAAATTAAGAGACCTAGCGGTGGTAAATGTAGGCAAGCTGCATTCAGTTAGCAAGAGTAAGCCATTGAGAGAATTTTTGCAAACAACGACGTACGAGCTGGAGGCTATATCTGCCTCTGGACGCAGTCTCATTTTGCGCACATTTAAATTGCTTAAATTTTTCCTGTTATTACCCCTCAGTTAGCAAACAAACAGAAACTTTCTATACAATACCGTTATACAAACATACTATAAGTAGTGTATCTAAAACAAGACTTTTAAATCACTAAACGTTTTGTTAGCTGACCTTTGAAACTTGCGTTCTCTTCAATTTATTCTTCAGTTCGCGTGTACCGAGATGCCTGCGTTTGCGACATATCTGAAAGCGGAAGAGAAAGAGAGATTGGCATCAGTCGCCAAGAAAATTGTTGCCCCTGGGAAGGGTCTTCTCGCAGCAGATGAAAGTATAGGTAAGAATGCCTCACTAATGGAATATCACATATTTCATCCCACTTTTTATTTAGTATGTATCCATCTATTTAATCGAAAACATAACACTAAGTAAAGTTTACATTCTCTTTTAGTTTACTTCGTAAATCGTCATGAAATGCAATCGGGTGACTTAATGGGGTCCCACGATATATATATATATATATATATATATATATATATATATATATAGTCTTATGTGATAAACTGAATCATTGTAATGCGGTAGTTGGCTTCATTTTCTTTCATTTTCCGTGTATCTTCTAGTTTTGCTGATTCTAAAAGTTGGACCTTACTTTTTCTCTGCTTGTGAATTGTGCGCTGGGTTCCACGGTGCGCTTGCTGGTGCTGATGTAACTTAGACATTAGTCTTATGGGATGGTACGTATGAGGCGTGCCAGGTACGGGAATACGGTGAACATTTGGATTGACCGAACGCAATGTGTATTAACAGAAGCTACAAAGAAGAGTGGGTAGGTATGCAAAGTCAAACCGCAGTGCACAGCGCGATGAACGTGCGCTATACCTCCAGCATGAAACTAGACGGCCAACTAAAGGCAAAGGGTATAACACACAAAAGTAAACTAGGGAAGATATTTATTGGGAGGGAGGCGAGTTAGCTAATGCTAAAAATAAGGCACCAGAAGAGAGCTAGCTACGGAGGATGTAGCTGGCTGTCGAGTGCGTGGACGCAGCGTCGTTCGCAGTCGAGTCGCTCGCTAGAGGCGGATATTGTGATATTGTTTCAAACAAACTGGAACAACGTTTCAACAGGCAAACCGCCCAATTCTCTAATACATAAGGAAGCTATAATTTAAATATATATAAAATAGTTTAAACAATCATACAGGGAATCTCCTGGTCACTGCCAGTCAATGTCGGGAAAATTAAAGTCCCCCATCACTAAACACCTATTTGCCGAATGCACGCGGATGAAATCAACAAGCCCCTTAGCAACGTTGTCGAGGCTTCTATAGACCAGCACAACTTTAAGTTGCGCGGAGGCAATACACAGGTTAACCGCGAGTGTCTCAACATCACCGGCTAGTGTTCGGAATCCACACATATTAACGACAGTAAGTGTGGAGTAAACGTACAAAGCAACGCCACCTCCGCGTCGATCAGAGGTGCGGTCACATTTCAGCAGTGCGTAGCCTGACAAGCACACTTTACTGTCCGTGACGTCGGTGGACAACCACATTCCAGTGAATGCGAGAAAAGCTAGTCGGCAGTCGTCGACTTCACACAGCTTGTTTCGCAGGCTACACACATTTCTTAAGATCACGAAGTGATTTATAGCGCGATGATTATGCGCTATATATTCGGTACAAAACCAGTCGATAAACCAAAAGCAATGAGCACACAAATTGGCTAAGGAAAAAGTTTATTGAACCGAAAGTGAGTTAGCTAATGCTACAAATAGGGCACCAGAAGGGAGTTAGCTAGGTGGAATGTAGTTGGGCGTCGAGTGCGTTTACGGAGCGTCGTTCGCAGTCGAGTCGCGCGCCAAATGCGGAGATCGTATTCGTGTTTCAAACAAACGGGAACAACATTTCAACAGGCAAACCGCCCAATTCACTAATACATAAGGAAGCTATAATTTGCATATATTTTATATATTTATAGTTTACTCAGCCATACATGGATTCTCCAGGTCACTACAGATTTAGCATTGTGAGTCCGGAATCGTGCGCCACCAGACCCGGCTCTGGTAGGGCGGAAGTGAACCGCCGGCTCACCCCCCGAAGATCTCTCACTGCTTCCCGCAATTTCAGCCTATCCTCCAAAGGGAGATCTGTGTGCACAATGACACCAGTGCCCTTGAGCTTAAAGGCAAAACGCAGCGGTGCTTGGCGCTCATCCGGAGTGAACAGAACAGCTCGAAACAAGCGTGGGCGAGACTTGTCAGCTGGCAAGTTACCGAGTCTGGTTAGTTTGCGCACAGTCACGCCGAGGAAGCCGGGGGGCAGGAGTTTGGTAACGCATATTCTAAACCACTGAAGGTCATCTAGCATACGGTCTTTTGGGAGGACAGCAGATGACTTAGTGGCGTTTTTGAAAATAACACTGCAGTCGATATACGAGCCTCTGCGACACGGAGTGTATACCGAACGCTCCATGGACGTTGGTGGTTTCAGTTTAACGTCCGTTTTTTCATGGCATCTAAGTGCTTAGATTTTGTTAAGGCATTACTTCCAGATCAAACGCCGTGCAGTGCTCTCTTTGGGACAGTTTGAGCCACGTTTTCTGCTAAGATATTGCTTTGTTTCTTTAGGAATTTTTCCAACGGATCACCTCGGCTGTCACTTTCCATTATGACTCATGTCGGAGTGTGCTGATTGATAGGTGTATTTTGAACGGCTTGCTTGTACCCAACCTGCGTCCCACTCCTAGTCATAAAGACGAACGCGCCACAGTAAATTCTCCGAGGTCTTAGCAATACCCATCTCTGACTGTACCACTCCTTCTGGTACTGGAAGTCGTGCTTCCTCTTTGTCGTTATCGGAGCCACTGACTTCTTCGGATAGTAGCAATGTGCGTAAGACTAAGACTTATGTGGCCGTGGTTAGTGGAAGCGTGTCACCAACACCACTTGGCAGGTCTGCGATTCTAGGAGAGGGGAAGACAAAGCGCCTCTCTAAACCAAGAATAAAGTCCTGTTCTTCCGATCTAAAATTGCTCCTTGACAAAGTGTCAGCTGGAAATAGCTCTCAATGACAGTTTGCCCATCCGAATCTCCAGCCTTTTTTGCGCATTAACTCCTATCCCCGTGAGCGTTGCTTGATTAATTTGAATGCTTCTGAGTACAACAAGAACTCCCCTGCTGAAAAAAATGTAGTGTGACCAAATGTTTCTGGACGTTTAATCTCTCTCCTTTGCGCTGAAAAGAACTGGAAACAACTATCTCTGATTTTTGTCCTGGTAGGAAGCCTGACACCTCTTTTAAGGCTGGTCCACTCAAGGTTGTTTGTAAAAACGAAGATAAATGTCGTCGTGTTCTGAGACGGATCCCACGTCTTAAGAGTGAAAGGTTCAATGTTCTGCAAAACTTTTCCTAAGGATCGTCTCCAAATGAAAGCTGCTGTTAATGAGCTACAGATACGCCGAGCAAATGGTGAAATTAACCTCTACATTGCGGGTTTTTTGTTGGTTCTCTGGAGGCCAGTCTTTCTTTTCCCTCGGCGACTATATTGAAAAACAGACTAAAGGTGATGTATCCCTATGTACTTAGCCTACGTGACAAACTTGATAAGATCCTTGCTTCTGATAGTCGCCCGGACCTAATGGCTTTCACAGAGACTTGGTTGTCAACGGACATCATTGACTGAGGTGTATTTTTTGGGTATCCCCTGTCTCGGACCGATCGTGCTGGGGCGAGGTTTGGCGGTGGTGTAATTCTCTACTAGGAAGAAGAACTCAGAGGTCATCTAGTAGAAGAAATCTGTAACTGTGATAGCGGATCTGGATTTCTTTTGTGCTGGATCCATGATGGTTGCCAGTCTCTTTTGGATGGTATTATCTACAGAGCCCTCTCGGGTTCCGGAGCCACTTTGCTGAACGCTGCCAATAAGCATAATGGCGGCAGGGATCGTCTGATACTAGGGGACTAACACTGCTGGTATTGATTGAGACATACTCCGTTGCGTCTTTTGACGCTGTTTTCCTTGAAGCAGTTCTTGCATGTCACCTATTTCAGCGTGCCGCAGAGCCTACCGGGATATGTGCGGGTCAGTAGCCAAACATATTCCACCTTTTGCTCACACAGTATGTTGTTTCTGACTTGACTATTCTCCAGCAGCTGGGTACGAGCGGTCACTGTGTATTGTCCTTTTACTGAATGCAACGTCTTGCCATTCAGGACCCAAGGGTGTACCGTTGGAATTTCTGGCTAGTCGATGCAAGTAGTTTGAAAACTACTGCTGACTCTATAGGTACGGGTATAACACTGCACTTAGACCCAGATAAAGCCTGGGGTCTTTTGTACCCTAAGCTCATGTCATTCATTAAACAAGTTGTCCCATTCACTAGAAGAATCCACAACGCAAACTGCGGGGCAAGTTCAAAGCTACGCAGTCAACGTAAGATTACTCCAGTTCTAAAGCCGCCAGAAATGAAGCGCGAGAAAAGAGAGCAGTATGAGCGTCGCTTAGTCGAGGAACCGATAGTCGCTCCCAAGCTTCTTTACTCTTATCTGCAGCGTAATACCAAACCTGCGAATGGAATACCTGCCCACTTTTCCGTCGAAAATAGCATTATACTTCATGAAAAGGACGCAAAGGCCCAGGTCCTGACCTTGTGGTGTTCTTCTGTCTTCTTACTTAAAGAACTGTTGCCCAATAACTTTGTCCGTACGTCACCCTCCTTTCGTGCGCACCTTAAAATCAGCATTGATTCCGTCACGAAACTGCTTCTGCAGTTAAATCCGAACTCCTCACGTAGTCCTGATGGGCTTCACATCCTGTTTCTCAAAACGGTAGCTAGGTACATCACCACACCTCTTTGTCAAGTTTATCAGCGCGCTCTCGAGGCAGGACGTCTCCGCTTGTTTGGAAATTTGGCATCGTTAAGCCCAGTTACAAAGGTGGAAATCGTCAGGATCCTGGGTACTATCGGCCGGTTTGTTTAACATCCATATTAAAATCATGGAGAGAATTCTCAAGAGAGCCTTGAATCGCCACCTTGATAATGGGAATGTCATCTCTCTCGTACACCCTGGCTTTTGCAGTGCATGCTTGAATGCGTCCAACCTGCTTGTGGACAGAGAAAAGTGGGTTAAACCATTGAATGCCGGCAATCGCCTGGAGATCGTCTTTATCGAATTAAGACAAACATTTAATAAGGTCCCGCACGAACAGCTTCTACTTAAACCGGAGAATTGGTGTTTCTGGGGTGGTTCGCTCTTTGATTACCGATTTTCTGAATGGACGTAGTTTGCAAGCAATTGTAACTGGAACGTATTCCGAGCCGGTTTTGATGGCCA